ATAATGTTTCATCATCTGCCAGGGATGTATCTCATGAGCACTGGAATCTACACAAGTTTGCCTCTTCAGGACACACCACAAGTAGCAGACAATGAAAACCAACGTCAGACAACTGGGTAATGAAAAGAACCTCCAGGGACCCACGAGGCAAGGGGCCTGCTGTTGATTTTCTGTTGTACTCTCTCCCATAAACATCTTAGAATATGGTGTACACGCAACCATATTCCAGATGCACTCCCAAATTTGCCTTTTTGTCTCGTCGTGCCCTGGTACACCAGTAAAAAACCAGTTCATGGAGTTGATGTTCTGTTGAGTGACATTTTACCAAGACGAGCTGTCGACATGAAACTCTGCGTTGAGTCTGTTGTCCGTGCCTTTACCAGGCGGTGCAAGTAACCAGCTTGGTGTAAACAACCATGGCGGTCCCATTCCCCTTGCCGGCCCCTGCTTCGGGGAAGCCTCGGAGTGTGTTTGGGGCAATCGGACGGGATTGGAAGTCTGACAGAGAGCTCCTGGGAAAAGTGTCACGTAGCTCTCCAGGAGAGAAACGCCGAAGAAACAAGGCCTTTTCTGTCTCTGGGCAACCGCTAATGAGCCAGGACGTAAGACAACATCTCAGGACCACGTGAGGAGCTGGTCAGCAACAGCGAGGGCAGCTGAGCAGGGGCAGGGAATGGTCGGAGCCCTGTAGGAGCCCAGGAGTTAACCACCTCACGGGACTGATCATATGTAAACAGGCTACCGATTTCTAGATTGTTGAAGTCATTCTGCCGTGGATTTTCTGGCAAGCCCACACATCTTAACTGAGACAGTGCCTCTTTGGAGGGGCAAGGCAGGGCGCTCTCTGCCTCCCTGTCAACACCCTATCAGCAAAGGAATAGTCACTTTTCTTTGGGATTTTTCTCTTTCTTTCGCAATAACTGTTCTGGGAAAATCCACTGTGGGGAAGGGATTTTTAATACCTGCTCCTGATGGATAGAGAGTCCTTTGAAATCCTCCCACACTGCATAAACACTGCAATACAGCTCCTATGAGCCACTATGAATGGTATGTGTGGGGACATGATACGCAAACATTAGGGAACTACCAAAAATTGGTCTTTATTACTCATCTACTCTTATTTTCTCGTATAATAATAAGCTTGAAAAATGTGCCCTACATCTACCTGATTAAAAACACAGAATCACCCAGTTGGAAGGAAGCTCAGAAAAGAGAGGTTCAAAGAAATTGAATGATTGCATGCACTAGGTCGCACAGTGGCGGGGGCTGATTTTCTTTATTGTTAGAAGGGCTTTGTGCAAGGTTTTATAAAGAAAAGCCATTCACGGAAAACCCCATTTAATATAAAATTGCACTGCAAAGATTAGGGAAATCAAAAGTGGATGGTCCCCCACCCCCCTCCAGTTTAGTTCTGATCATAAACTCTTTTTCCCCCAACTCATTGTTTGGGGTTCCTTCTTCCTATTTTTCATGCCAGGGGTGGGTGGGGGGTGGGGGCCGGGGAGCAGCCCTTGTGGTGCGATGGGTTAAGCCCTGGGCTGCTAAACACAGCAGCGAATTCACCAGTCGCTCGCAGGTAGGAGGAGGAAGCTGTCTACTCCCCTAAAGATGTACAGCTTTCAGGGACCTGTGGAGCTGCCTTCCTCTGTCCTACAGGGCCACTGTGACTCAGAAAAGACTTGCTAGCACTGGGTTTGCTAATTTTTGCTTGATTTCTAATGCCTTTTTAGAGGCCAAGGCATTTCTCACCATTCCATTTTCTCTCCCCCAGCAAATTCCTGCTGCATATACAGTCCGTTGTCTTGGTTGGTGGACTAGCTGCATAATAGTTACCTGGGAAATAACCATGGCCAGGCTGAGTCTGACTTATCAGACCATGGGCTGGAGCCCAGGAAGGGCAATGCATGTAAGCACCCCATTCTGCCCAGGCTCTGAGGATGGGCCTCCACACTGCGGACTGGATGCCAGGGTCCGAACAGAAAACATCTAATTATCATCGTTGATTTAAGCAGGAACAAAAATATGTGCACCGTTGCCTATAATTTTTATGTTCTTCCAGAGGTCTAAAACAAGCCCAGCTGCTCTGTGATTTGGATGCACCCTGGCAATCATTTGCATTAGAGCTTTGGGGACTTTTGTCCACGCCCCTTGAGACTTTTCTTCACCCCGCCCCCTACCACTGTATCTTCCTCTGCATACATTTCTACTTGAATATTAAAAATACCTTAACTCTCCCTCCCTAGCCAAAGGAAATGAATTTTGAGAAAATGTCAAAAAGAATACTTTCATGAATACACAATACAAAATGTCTTGCCTTTGAACCAGAAGTCCGAGCTGCCCAGGGTAAACACAGGAGGGAGGTAGAGAAGTAAACACTGGGCTCTCCAGCAGAACCAGCCCTGAAACCAAAACTTCGGAAGGAAGCGGACCATTAAGTAAGTGGACCAGTGGAACAATGGTGCAGGCATCTCCGGGGCTAAGGCTGAACCTGAGAAAGCTGGAGTTACACAGAGAAATGCCTTGTCCCAAGTTAGCTTCTCCTTACTGCTCGAGTTTAAAATAAGGCCAGTGCTGGCAATGAAAATAGAGTTTGAGTGGAATTTTAAAACTCCTCTGGGTACCAAAGAATTTTTTTCAGGCCTAAATAAACACTTTTTACTGTATCCTGCAGGATTCATTTATACTTACCTTCCTCTAAGCCATGTTCAAATCTAGAGGCTCTGGAGACCAAGAACTCAGCCTGCTGAGAACCTGAGTCTGTGTGTTCTTACAACAGTTCCAACCAATTCACATTACAGCGGTGAGGACTAGTCTATACCTAAATTTCCCCACGGGCAAATGAAATACCAGAGAACCTCACAGAAAATCATCAGTTATGAAATGTAAGACAGGATGTTTGAGAAATGCTATGTACTAAGTAAGTACAGCAACAAAATCGGCGGAAATTGGCTACAAGGCGAAAGTCCAGGTCACAGCTGTAACCAGCCACTTCTGGCTGTACTTCTCTCTGGGTCACGGCAGGATGGACTGAATACAGTGGGATTGAGGGCCCACGGGACAGGGAAGAAGGAACAAGCCAGGCACCCACCAGTGATCTACTGTAAGGCCTTTTTCTTCACTTTTCTTTTCCGTCTTCCTTTCCCTTTCCTTCTTTAAGGTTCCTAACTGTTTTCGGGGTAATTAAAAAATAGGAAACATTCAATACTGGATCCTTGCCATTTTGCTGTTTCACCATTTACTCCTGGTCTTTCTCAGTCCAATTAAGCTCCTATTCTAATTGCACGGCTTGAAGAGACCCACGGTGTGCAGCTGACCCCTAAAACCTCCTCCGCCAGTTGCTCCCGGCAAGCCTGGCGACCTTCTGAAGACTCAGAAGGTCACGAATGTCCATACACATACTTGGCTGAAGTGTGTACCCGGAATTTCCTCTGGTTTTGTGACTGCCCTTCAAGTGTACAGCATTTTGCAACTACATCAGCGTGCCACCCCAACCCCATTAACAAGCGCCTGTGTGGAACACGCATCAAATTAGCATCTCGGAGCATCTGGAGTTACTTTCGGAAGCCCAGCTCCCATCATTTTAAACACACTTCATCAGGATTCTTTGACGTTTTGGGGACATTCTCCCTGCAAACTTGAATGCTTTCAGCTTTGCTTCTTAATTGGTCCCAATCATGCAGCTCTACCTTGGCATGGCGAGAAAACACATTTGATCAATAAAGGAGCAACCTCCGCCTTCTCCCAGTTGCCTCTCACCCACAGCCCAAATGCTCTCAGTTCTTCGTTAACTAACATACGTGGAAATCTTGATGGTAACTTATACGTGCTCTCTCCAAAAGCTTAGTTATCAAGGGTTTGACAGCAACATGAAAACCACCCAAGCCATTTTCCCTCAGCAGGGGTCAACGTGTCCCAACAAAATGCCTTCATGGACCGAAGAGAGTAAGAACACACTAGGGTCAGGGCCAAATGTCTAACTCATCAGTCACCTGGTTTTTAATGCTTAGTGATTTCAGTTAACTCCCAATTTTTCCTTGGACTGTGGTCTCCAATCAAGAACAGGCTAGCAAAGTCAGTGGAAAGTTCAAACATAAACACTGTACTGGCTGATTCAGCAAGGGAACTCCGCAAGGCCATTCCTAAAATAGTCACCCAAAAATATCCACGCCACTTTCATGGAGTCAATCCCGCTAACTGCCAGCGAGCCTGTAGGGCAGCGACGCAGCGCTCCCAGGGTTTCCAAGACTGTCCCCCTTTACAGGGGCTGACGGACCCCTCTTTTCCTGTGGTGTGGCTGGAAGGCTGGAAGGTTCTGGTTAGCCGCACAATGCTCTCCTCACTGCTTCACCGGACACCTTCCAAGGGTCACGCAGCAGTCGATACACAGAAATGGAAAGCTGTTCCAAAGATTGTAGATGTTCCTAGCAGGAAAACTAGACGCCCATACATTCACCCAAATATCATGTCTTTATTCTCTATATTTATTAGAAGACTTTAGTCCAAGCAAATTGCTTATACGTGATCTTGTGGTAAAAACAAGGCCTAGTATTCCCATGTGACAGATATAAAACATAAGGGATAGAGAGGTTAGTGACGTGTCCAGGGCTGGTTGGTCTTATTACTCTAAATCCCAAGTCCAAACCCACAACGTACACACTTGTTCATCCTTGACCACAAGAAACTATCACGCCTGAACATGATGCTTGGCAGCCTGGTATCATAGACTCCGGTTTTGCTTTGGTACTGGTGAGAGAAAAGATACCACAAAAACTCTGCCTGGTGGCCTGGTCATATCCCTCGGCTCCCCTGCAAAGATCAGCTGGCTGTGAACTGCCTCACCCAGGGCAGTTGACAATTCACACATTTCTTTGTAAGCCTCCAGCATACCTGAGGCGATTGGCGGCGGGCGGGGGAACATAAGCAGAACTGGGCGCAGCTCTACTCCGAAGACAAGAATTTCCCAAGGGGAGAAAAGAAGGAGCAACCAGTCTCAAACCTACTTGGCTAAGTGGTTCATAAGCAGCTGTAACATCTGCCGATTTTTCTCTGGGAGCCGATGAACAAGGCTGTGGATTTCAGAGACCCGAGACTCCTGATTCTCCAGCTCTGCAGGGAAAGGGGGGAGGTAACGTTGATCAGTGTCACAGCTAAACTAGCATAGAAGACAAAATCAAGGAAACCAGGGCTTGGCACTAAGGTAAAGGGTTTCTCAGAGCTGTGTGGTTTTGTCTTGTGTGCTGCATGATGTTGGGGTCATGGTGTTTTCTATTAACAGGGTTCATCAAAAAGTGGCCATCAGCAAAGCCACGCCGAAAGCACGCAGAGCTGAGGTGGAGCCCGTCAACTGCACCCCCGAGGAGGAGCGGCCTCGGAGCAGCTGGCTGTCCAGTGACGCCTTGATTCCGAGGAAGGAAGGAACTCCGTGCACTCATACAGTGACAAACAAATGGGGCATGAACAACATTGCCAGGGTCTCAAATATCAAAATAGCACCTAAGAAATCCAAGGGAATGTGGTTATATTTGAGTCCTGGGTGGCAGCGAATCGGGTTTACACAGCAGTGGCAGGTGACACTGCCAACGCCACCTTCCAGCCTGAAACCTACGTCATGGTCTGTCGTGTCCTCTTGGTGGAACTTGGGCTAGCGGCCTAATTCTCTGGGAAATGGACTGAGGGTACTCACCACACCTATTTATAGGGCTGATGCGAGGCTCACTAGAGAAGGGTTGCCATGGGCTCAGAACTTCTCTGAAAGAGAAGCCACAGAAAGACCATGTCCCCTCCCGTGGCCTTCTTGTCCTAAGGGATGCCTCGCCAGCAAGGCAGCCACAAGGACATTTAGGTCTTGCTGAATTAGGCTAGTAGCTACCAGGTAAACAAGCTCCAAAGGCCTGAACCAGGGCCAGGCCAAGGACAGCGACCTAAGAGCACTGGGAGGATTCAAGCCAGCTCGGAATGTGATAGTGAGTCTCACTGCCCCCTCGCAGGAGGCCTGCTCCACCTGGGTGGTTTCTAGTGTGCGTAGCGCAGTGTGCACCTGATTCCTCTGGGTTTTCATCTCCATACTCGGCCACTAGTTAGGGATTTGGATGCTGTAGCTGACGAAGGATCAGAGGCTGTAAATGGAAGGTGCAAGGGAAGCAGGGCCGTGAAGTGACATAAAGGTGCCATCTTCAGGGAAACCCTTCCAATGCCCAACTGAGGTCATGTGCAATGGCGATTCACACTGTACAATGGTGCTCAGGGGTGGAAAAATAACCAAGGAGTAAGAATTCCAATAAAAATCTACGGAGGAAATTGTGTCTTGCCCCCTCCACCCTTAAAAAACCCAAACAAAGGAAAACACTTCCGAAGTTTTGCTCGTTTACTGTAAACTCAAAGCGGTATCAAGGCCCTTAGTGATCCCGATTTGGTTTCATTTTGATGCCGGGCTACCGTCTCATGAGCTTCTATGTGGGCAGTTGAAATATAGCCTATGAAGGATTAGATGATATTTATTTGTGGACACGGACTGTTCTGTGAAATAGAAAAATCTATTCTCTTCCCAGGACAGCTATGATAAAGCAAAACAACTCACTTGCTGCTTTGATGAAACTTCTTTGAAACTGGTACATCATGAGTGGTCCTGGAAGCATTCTGGAATCGAGGATATGGACTCATCAATTTAATAAGAAGCCAGCACTGCTCCTTTCTCACCGCAGCCGAGAGACTGCCCACCTGTACTGCATGTCCCAAAGAGCCAAGGTCACTGGAAACGACCACAACTCAACTTTATTTAACTCTGGTGCTCACTTGAAGGGGTCCTGAGAGTTCTCCTGAGCTGTTCATTCTCTTTTTCTTTTTTAAGACAATGTGTATCATTATAGTTTACAGGCACTGCTAGAAAGTGCTAATGCAAAAGTCTAGACCCAACCAAGAGATTTCTTTTTCAGTCACCGCCTCACCCACCCACAGGAGCACGTTAAGATGTGTCTAACACACAGGGAACTAACAATTTGCAACAGCATGTGCCTCAGTTCCAGGCTTCCCAGGGCCTGCTATCCGAATCAGCGCATCGGAGAGCACTCTGAGGGCTTTGATATAGGTGTTGTCTTGAGGTGAATTCACTGCAGGCTGCCGGTCCAGAACACCAGAGGGCCCGAACCTCTGCCATCAGGCACACCACAAGCAAATGTCATATACCTAGTCAGGTTTTAATGTTTAACTGTAAACATGAGATTCGCCTCCCCTCTGGATAATCCAAATAAGCTTCCATACAGATCTTATTTCATTGTCTCTCCTAATTCACCACTTAGTCATAACCTGAACTACATCTTATTCTTGATGTTAAGAGACTCCCATCAATTCCCCAATCGTCAATAACACCTTCTTCGCCAAGTCCTACTCTATGGCCTTGTGTCTGCGTTCCAGCCAAGCAAATCTTCACATGCTTGGCCCGCCCACGATGTCGGTTCTCTGCTTGGTGCAGCAAGCGATCTAGCAGGAACGCCAATCTGCTCCTGAATCTAGCTGACCAGAGGCAGGTGGCTAGTCAGTCACCACCCTCAAGGGGCAGGCAGAGAGGGGAGGAGAGAAAGCAGGGTAGCACACATATTGTAGCAAAGGCAAAGAAGTCTTCTCTCCAGTCAAGTAACAGTTTCCACTCTAACTGGGAGGAGTCATAAACAAGTTCCATTAGATTCTCATCTGGGGACCAATGCCAAAAGTGTACCAATGTGCCTACTGACCGAGACACATGGCAGATGGGAACTTGCCGTTCTAGGCAGAATGGCCTTCAAATGCCTTGGTTTCCTTAACAGAGTATTCAGGGGTCTCAAGGGGGAACCATGCTTTAGACTAACTGACCCACTACGCCCGTGGCCAGGGTCCCCTTTATATCAGGGCAAATTCCCACAGTAACTTCTTACAGAGCGAGGAGCTTCCCAGATCGCTCAGGGCACCACCGCATGATGGCAAGGTGTCAGCTTTGGACGCTTTATACTTGGTCTGACCAGCTAATTGCACCCACACAGAAGCTGTTTCCCCATCGCAAACACCCACCCAGCCACTCTCTGGAGGCTGAAAATAAAACTGCTTTCTTCCTGATCGGATGATAACAACCTGGCAGCCCGCCCTGCAGTGGAAAGTCCCTACCTTAGGTAGGTCTTCAGGGCACTCGTGATGGTCTTAATCTCCCACTCGGCGCAGATCTCCGCTTCTGTTTCAGAAGCCGCTTTGGGGTCTAAAACAAGGAGAAGACAATGCTTATAGTCGAGAACATAGCTGGCCGTGAAAGAAACCAAACACCCAAAGGCACGCATAAGCTGGGCTCTACCTTGCAAAAGAAATGCAAGTTAAAACAAAACCAACAAACATTTTTGCTTAAGTGAGGAAACAGTTGGAAACTCCAAATAGCTGCCATCAGAGTGAGTCTGTTATACATTGCTAGGGCCAGTGAACACAAATGCAATCGTTATGAAAGGTAATGTGGAGATATGCGTCAAGAGTCCTACCAATGGTGATGGCCACTTCTCACCTCTCCTCGGGAAGTAAAGCAGGAGAAAGCTTACATAGCCAAAAAAGGCTCAGCAGACACGATTCTTCATCACAGTTAGTAAGAAGAAAAATTTTTAAAAAGAAGCAACCTAAGTGTCCAGCAGCAGGTGATTAGGGTCATGGTGTGTCCCCGAGAACATATTACAGAGCCAGTAATGTGTAACTTCTAGCATCACGGCAAAGGCCTGCATGGTCCTGTGATGCCAAGCACAGAAAAACGAAGACATAAGCACTTGTGAGAGGCTCGTGTGTATGGAGGTGGAAAGGAAATACTCTAAAATGAAAAGGGAGCTTGGGGGAGCATGGGGGAAATGTGGCTTTTACACTTTTCAAACGGCCTCTGATGTGATCCCATCGCTTTGGTATTTTCGTAAGGTTGCCTGACGCACAGAAGTACTGGAAGACCACGACACCAGCCCTGGAGATTCTTCCTTTTGTCTCTTCTTGCTTGGACTTTTAACCAAATGTGTACACAAGTAAATACAGGTGTACCAAAAGAGAACAGGAAACAATCTGTATAACCTTCAGGAGCAGTACATAGGAAGAAGAGAACAGAAGGCAGAGGTTGGAAAGTTAAAAAAAGTTCCACCAAGCCGGCAGGAGCCCCTCCTACCACTGGCAAGCTGACTGGGTCCTATATAAACTGTGTGAGGGACATGTCTCCTTCCAGGCTACTTTCCGGAGAACCCAGCTCCCTGTATAGGCTAAGACCTTTAGGCATTTCCCCTCTCTTCAACTTGCCTCTTTTTCTACACAGTCTCTCATTTCCAGCTAGGCTGGCACCCTTTCCCTTACTCCTTATCCAAGTACTAGATCGAGGCTCCGCCCTCCAGAGGCGGGGAATGAGATTCAGGACAGGCCAATCAGAACACAGTATCTCTTTATTGACAAAGTGACTGGTTCAGGGGTGGGCCAAGGTCTAGGCCAACCCAATCAAAGTGAACTTCAAGACATTTCCAGGAGGGGGCAAGTGGTGGTGAAGGCAGGTGCTGTTTCCTGTGGGCTTGTAACAGTCAGGTCCCATCAGGTAGAGCTTGAGAGTAAATCTAAAAGACAAAACCCAAGTGGAGTTAACCAGAGATACTTGGTCTTGATGGCATGAGTTGAGTCCTTGTGTCTGGCCATGTCTTTTAAATTACATTGGCCAACCAAATTCCTGTGAGGCAGCGTGGGCTGGGCTTTCGGTTTTTTACAATCCAAAGAGATGTAAATAATATACCAGGTAAAGAGAGAAAGCCACTAGACTGCTGCTTTTTGGACAGTCTCCAAAAAGAATTCCAAGAAGCCAACTAAGAAAGTGTTTCCTCCTACAAGGCCAACAGCATTTTGGCTGGCGAGGGCAACATGTCCCTGGTGAGCTAATTGTCTATGTACCAGCAATGGGAAAGACAATCCACGTTTATAGGAAGGGGCCATATATTCACGAGGGCCTTAAGCATTTAGCCCAGAATCCCCAGGTCTTGATCTGCTCTGAGCCGGTGGCCCCTGACACATGCTGCGAGACTCGATAGCAAAGGGCCCCAAACGCATAAAATGTTTGACACCTAAAGGCCAGATACCTATGTAATGTCTGCAGGTGACCCAGGCCACTAACTTCTTTCCTGTCCCATGGCAGAAACCAGAAAGAGGCTAAGGAGTGTGATCTTATTCCTCAGACCACAGAACCGTAAGTTCGATCACGGCAGAGTTCCTGAAAAATGCCAAGGTGTGATTCCCCGGGTACCCCAAACACCTGCAGCTTTGAGTCTTTCCTGCCTTTGTCATCTGCCACTCCCGCAACACTTCGTGATGTCTCTTCCTTCCAAAGCGTAAACACCAGCCCACTTTGCTGAGTCGGATCTTCTCCCGCCTCACCCCCACGCGACGGGGGGGGGGGGGGGGGGGGGCCCCTGCCTGCTGCAAGGGCTCCTGGATGCTGGAAGAACCAACCACCCTCTACCCAAGAAGAGTGAACATGGCAGCAAACAAGCAGCGGCTGGCAAGTCTGGGAGTTGTGAACTGCTCCATGAACCACATTTAGCAAACTAATGATTAGCTTCCACGTACTTGGACTCTGTAACCATAGGAATATTGTGTAACGTTGCAGAGAAAAGAGTCAAATTACAGTCGGCTAAAGGGCTTTTTATAGCACGGATGAGGTAAGGCTCATAACGTGAGCACGTCCCCTTTAATTCATTTAATATCCAAAATAAATTGAATGCAGCCTCCCAAAGCTTTTTCAGAGAGTGCTGCCAATGTGCACACCTCCCCCCTGGGAGGCTGGGTGGGGGGGGCGCTCCCTCTCCACTTGCAGAATATGGTGGTGTCTGAATGGGCTGCCAAGGCATACTTCACACTTTTCTCTAACTCTCGATGTCACCCCACCGTGGTACTTGATCATCACAGAGCCTCCTGAAAATGACCTAAACTAGAGGAGAAGGGCAAAGTACAGAAAGGCGCCTCGGGGAGGGGGAGCGAGCACATCTCCTCTTTAACCCACTGCCCTAAGGGTTCCAAAAAGCAGAAGGCAGAGACTGGAAGCAGAGGTTACAAGGGGAGGTGTCTGAGAAATGTCACAGTGGATTGGTCCCAACATCCATCTAGCCTGGTACTGGGCAGCTGATAGACACGTAGGAGGACACCGTGGGTGCAAGGATTAGGAGAGTCATCGAAACACTCCTCAATTTCCTGACCACACATTATGATGTATGCAAGTTCTTTATTTTTCTTTAGCAGAACAGAACCTGTAAGCACACCATTAACAAAGACAGTGAGAGAGAGTAAAACAAACCAAAAAATACATTAAAAGGGAAGTTTTTCCTACCCTAAGGGCAACTGCTAATGTCCGTTTTTTTATGGTCTCTAATAATCTATATACATACAAGCCCATCCGATGCTACTGTCATTGGACAGTATCTTAGGAACTGTTCCATATTTGTGCACAAATATATACGTCGTAGTATCTCACTGCATGTAAGGAACATAGTTTAATGTTTCCTACCACATCCTTGTCTTAATGAGGGGCACTGGTGGGCATGAGGTAAACGCTCAGCTGGAACAGAAAGGTTAATGGTTCAAACTCAACCTGAAGCTCCGTGGGAAAGCCCACGGAGTTCTGCTCTGGTACACGGGGTCGCCAGGAGTCAAAGCTGCTTTGACAGCACCCAATCACAACCCCTTTTCTGATGTGCAGGAAACCGTGGAACTACCAGATCAAAAGGTACGCAGCCTTTTAACTATCAGCGCTCTTGCCCAACTGCCCTCCGTGAGGCTTGCCATGATATGAAGGTCTGAGAGTGGCTCAGACCGCAGTTTTCACCACAGCATCAGTGTAATCAAGCACTTTACTAACCAATCTGATAGGGCTTTTTTTTGGGGGGGGGGCTATGGGTGAGGGATGGACTGCTATATGAAAGATCTGTGGTTCAAACCCACCTGCTGCTCTGAAGGAGAATGAGGGGGCCGTCTACTTCTGTAACGACCTGCAGCGGGACACCTTACGTGCAGTTGCTGTCAGCCAGAATAGACACAATGCTTTCTTTGTGCTAGTGAGGAGAGAGGTTGAGAATCTTTTGCGTGTTTGTTTGTTTTTAAAGTCGAGTTAATTGAACTCTAATCACCCTTTGTTAAGTTGACAAATATGCGTAGCCACGGAACCAGCACAATTAAGGTACAGGACATTTGTGTCACCTTTCAAAGTTCCCCTGAGACCCTGGAGCCGCCTCCCTCCAGGGCAAGCACTTACACTCAGCATACACACTACGCAAAGTGAAAGTGAGAGGTGCACGCATCAGTAGTGCACTCTTTCTTTTACTGAGTAGGCATCGATTTTACCACTATGTCACAGTGAAGGCTGACAACTATTTGGGCTGTTTCCAATTTCAACTCTTACGAGTAAGGCTACTGTGGACACTTGCACACAGGTCCTTGCAGCGATCAAATTTCCACTCTCGGGTTGACATGCAGGAGTGGGACTGGGTAACAGCTTGGAGTAGCTCGTGCGTCAGGGCTACTTCACTTTACAAGGAACTATTAAAATCGTTTCCCAAAGAGCTGGGAACCGGTACATGGAAGACCTAGTTGCTTCTAATAGCTAATACTTGCTATGGTCATTAAAAAAAATCGCCAGTTCAGTAAGTGTGTAAGTGGTATCTCAGGAGCCCTGGTGACATGGTGGTTATGTGTTGGGCTGCTAACAGAAAGGTCAGCGGTTTGAAACAACCAGCTGCTCTGCAGGAGAGAGACGAGGCTTTCTGCTCCCCTAGAGACTCTTGGAAACTCACAGGGGGCCAGTTCTACCCTGCCCGATATGAGTCAGAATTGACTGGATAGCAGTGAGCGTGCTTGATTTTTTAGGTGGTATCTCACGTTTTAGATTTGTAGTTCTCAACTGACCAATGTAAAGTCCCTAGATGGCACCAACAGTTACTGTATATACTCGTGTATACGCCAAGTTTTTCGGCATATTTTTAATGCAGTTTTTGTGGTAAAGTTTAGCGCCTTGGCTGATATTCAGGTCGGCTTATTCTAGAGTATATACGGTCAGTGCTGGGCTACCCAATGAAATGTCATGTCGGTGGGGCAAGTCTACCCAGGGCCACCTTGGGAGACAGCCTGGCAATCTACTTCTGAAAGACCAGCGTCATGAAAGGCCGGTGGGATCAGTCCCCACAAGCGCACGTGCCAGCGGCTCACCACACTGCGTGG